TAGAAAGGAAGAGTTGTTTCATATGACATTTTGAACACTTATATTGTTTAGATTTAAGAATTATTCTATATAACACGTAAATTGATTCGATCAAACTTTTGTTTTGGTTTAGTATTATGTTAGATGAACTCTTTGTTGAAGTTTAGGAGAGAGTTTATGAGTCATGTATTACTTATTTTCGGAAGAATATGTACATAATTTGTTAGTTAGTTTAAGATACCACTCGATAAATAGTTTAAGTCCGAATAAAACTGAATAGATGATTTGGAATTAAAATTAAACATTGATTATACAAGATTTATCAGACTTTTATGTTGCTTAAGAAAACGTTTTATCGATTAAAATTGATCAAAATTGCAAAATCTGTAGACATCAATCCAATTTAAAAAGCCAATTATTACCGAGGTTGAGCGGTGGCCATGGGGAAATTCTTAGGCATGCAACCGGCGGAGGATTATAGTTGATTGAAAAGTTGTAATTTTAGCCATTTACAATTCTGGTTCTATTTGATAATAATTAGATCGATCGTTTTGATTATGACTGATTATAAATAAATTATAGTTCATGTAGAAGTTCTGTTTAGTCGATTTAAATTTTGATTTCATTACGTATAATTCTGAATATAGCCTTGATTGAAAGTATTCAAAAGTGAATTATAAATGAGTTATAATGACATTGAAGATTGGGTCGCTTGAACTCAAACATTCTCAAGTATTGGTTCGTATTTCAATTGGAACATAGTAGATGTTATAGGCCTTAATGAGCTATGACTACCTTAGAAAGAATATGTGTTTTGACGTACTTTACTACCATACACTAAAGATAAAAAATGCATGGAGTTGAAATCAAATTGTTTTTTAAAAAGTAAAATGGGTGGGTAGGGACGTGGGTGGTGTGCGAGGTGTGGATGCAGTGAAGGAGTGGTGTATGTATCGTCATAGACACCCACCCACCCTCTGGTCTTTCATAATGAGTATTTGTTTAATTTGATCATTTTGCAATAAATCATTTTTAAGTAATTGAATACATTTTAAATTATCAGCCACAAGTATTTCTACTTATGTTCTTTTAAAAAGATTTAAAATTGCTTCATGATTTAAGGTTATATATAAACTAACAACAATAAAGCCATACATAGACGTAATGCATCATTATACATTCTTTGAATATAGAGTTTTTTTTTTGTTGTAATCAAATTATTTAATCATATATGGTTCCAATCAACTATCATTGATTAAATAATATACTAGTCGCACTTATCACAATATGAAATCGCATAGCAGTTGCCGAGAAAGAGATAGTGATAAAAAATAAATTATTGTTTGTATAACTGAATACATATTTTTTTTGAAGGAAAGTAATTATACTAAATATGGATGTAATGAATTTGAAACATTCCTTGTTCTTATTGAGACTGACTCTGTTGAGAACGAATTCAGTTGCAATCATAATTATCATCGAGTAAGTATTAGAAATGAATAATTAAATAAGATACTCAAATAAACCAATATTTCCTCACCAACTTGAAGATGTAGATGTGAATGATGGTTCTTCTTCTCTTCACTTATATCTGTTCATCTGAAGATGACTTTCCGTTTTATTGTGGTTGTTGTTGTTAATGATGAAATGATTTAGTCCATGTTGGTTTGTAAAGTTTTATTAAGAATCTTGAGACTTTTATCCAGCGATTGGATAATACCATCGGAGCTGTATCCGATTTGTTTTGTATATTTTTACGACATTCACTAATGATCGAATGAGTGTAGATCATAAATGAACACTACATCCATTCACACCCACCGTCAAAAATAATGAAAGATTATTTAAAAATTATTATTAAGTATGAAAACAAAATAAACTTGTTCATTACTGATCGCAGATATAGATCAATTATTTTATTTAGATTTTGTTGAATGTTCAAGAGTAAGTGATATCGAAGAAAAATGATATAATTCGAGATCATTCCATTTCAGATAGAGGTGTTGATGATTTATCCAAAAGTATTTCTGTTTCATTTACATATGCTTGTTGTTCCGGTATTTTTAATCTAATAATCATCAAATTTTCAACTAATTATTTTCGTTTATCAATTAAATTTACTCACCCACGCAATACAAGCATACATAACATAGCTACTAGATTAAAAGATACACAAAGTATTAATTCCATAGATATTGAAAAGTCCTACAATAAAAATATTAATAGAAAATATCGTTTCTGTTTTTGTCTGAAACCTACAGCGAATAAAACAATCAGTATTATAAGAATTTGTGGTATACGTATATAACAGATTATTGTTGATCGAACTAAAACAAAATAACTGTGTAGGTGAAATTGTTGTAAAATTATTTATACTTTCATTTGGCATATATGTATTTTTGGATACAGTTATTGATGGGCGAGAAATACCAACACAGAATTCAAACAGAACAAAGCCAATTATAATTAATATTAATGACTTAAATAATCAGATTAGTCTGTAATAAATATATAACATAGTTGACTAACCTTTGGAAATACAATTGGTATTGTCATTCCGGCTGCAGCTAGTAGAAAAACTACTCTGAAATAACTAACCTTATGAAAAAATATGTTATTATACTAAAAGAAGCGAATTACATCATGAATGACTGAACTCTGGTCCATTTAACAAGAAGATAAAAAACAAATGAACCAATCATTGTTACTAACTAATTCAATAAGAAAAATAATATATTGAACTAATATTTTATTACCATATAACCAGCAAAAATAAAACCTAATGGTAATGAATTCTGATCAGTTGAACTTCTAGTTCTTTCAAAAACTGGTGTCCAGTTAATAACAAATAGAAATAATGATGCTTCAAACAAAGCTAAGCATAATCCAAGGACAACAATACGAGGATCTAAAGAAATATTTGAAAAGTTTTCTTAAATAAAACCGATAAAATAAACTGACCAGCTCGTAGCATTTGAATAGCTAAAATGAATGACTATGTTGCTTTTGCATCTTTATTTCCATAGTTTTCTGACCAAAATTTCCTTATTAATATTATCGATAGATTAAAAAAATACAATCGACAGATTAAATGGAGCACTGAAATCAACAAAAACTGACTCTGTAAAAATATATTCCACTCATGACTAGTTTTTATTTCAGAAATTTTATCTTATAGAACAAATACATAGCAGATGAATCAAATCGTATTATAAAGCTATATAGGCACTTACGCATAATTACTCTGTTTTACTAAAAATTGAGCAGAAACACCTGCTCCTATTGAAATAAATGATAAGCCAATATCTAAAATAAAAGCAAAGTAGATAAAAATTAGAATTGAATTTATTGAATATTACTAACTAGCATCCCGAAGTATTCGTTTTAGTAATGTATCATCAAGAAAACGCTGTTATATGAAAAGGATTATAAACTAATATAATACGAACTTTTTATAAATGATATATCTCTTGATATTCTTGTAGAAGCCAAGCATCAAATGCTGTTGAATGAAAAGTATCAGCTATACCCGAAAATATGCCTGATATCATTAGAATCCATACTGAAGAAAAATTCTTAATCAAACAATGATTTAGTAATAACACTACTTTCTAGTAATATTTACCATTAAAATACTCATTAGAATAAAGACAACATTACTAAGTAAACATCCTAGTCGACGTCCACTAAATAATGATATATAATTAACTGTATTCTTTCAAAAGATAATATAGATGAAAATAACTTACTATAAATCAGCAAGTGAAGCAGCAAATGTACCAATAACTAATGAAGATGTGTATGAGACAATATAAATGAATTGAATATTTGAACAACTTAATCCATAACTTTCATAGAGAGCATATCGATGAGAACCATGCAAACAATCACCAGCTATGTTTTTCATAAATAAATCCATCGCAATCGGTTAAAATCTGAAGAGGAGATTGATAAAATATCAGTTTTAGTTTTTTCGTTGTATTTCATTATTGTTTGTGTTGTGATGTATCCGTACAAATGACGAATTTAGTCTAACGTGTGTAACGCTTGAGTGATGTTTGATGACTACTTATTGGATAGAACGTCATTTTAAATAGGCATAATAACGCACATGTATTGTTCTACGGATACAAATATTATTGTCCTACTTTGAAATGTAATAAGGTTAGTATATAGAATAATTCGAAAAATATGTTTAAATTATTTATTTATAAATGATTATTTAATGATATCGTATTCTGAAACTATCATAGAATAATAATAATAATAATAATAAAGATTACTTAATTAACTCCACAATTATTTTGAGTATCTTAAATATATATATATATGCACAAATGGATTTAGAAAAAATGTATTTGTACTATTGTAAGCATATCGAAAATATAATACAATATTTCAGTCGTAATTTTCAAACTTGACGTCTTTTTGATCTAAATACATTTCTTGATTCTGAATCAGATTATGAACGTCTAACTGACGTATATTTACTCTCTTGAGGGTGTTAGCACATCTTTAACTCTATATCACAATAACAATAATAATATTATTTCTTATAATTTTTGTAACCGCGTATCTGCATACACTACCTGGCTGTTGAGGATGTGTGTGTGAGTGTGCATTAATGTTCATTATTTATCTACGCTATCACCCACACCCTGGTTTTTATTGCAGTTTAAATTTAATTAATTGAATTGATATACTTAGAATTATCTCCAAGTTATTGTCTATAATAATCTATCTTGAATTTTAATGGATTCTTTTGTTAAACAATTGACAATATCTCTATAAACATGATAACATCTATTATGATAGCATATTCTATGATCTTGCTAGAAATATCCAATGGTTATTATTATTATAAAATAGTTTTCTTGTTATAAAAACATCAATTTGTTCAGTTCTCGTTTGTAAATGAATTAAAAAGGTTAATATCTCATTCACATATTATTCACCAATAATAAAAAGTAATCATGTTAAATCTTTATTTGTCATGTTATCATAAATATGTAATTCTTTTTTTTTCAATATTTTTCGACTGTTCCATAAATTAAATTCTTCACTATGATATATCTAAAGTCAATGATATTTTCAATAACGATCATCATCTAATAAAAAAAACGTTTCAATCTATAACTAAAAAACAGATTCTGATATTTATTGATCAATATATTATAGGAATAAATAAAAGAGAAAGATTTTGATGAACAATAATTGGATATATTAAGTTAACATGTAATATCAAAATAAATTATTAGAAAAAAGATTGAACCGATGATTAAGAAAATAAAATAGCGGAACAAGATCACTAACATCAAAATAATTGAAGAAATCAATGAAGATTTCATATGGTAATAATTCAAAGTTTATTGTGTTCTTTTTTTTCGATTTTCTTTCAAAATAGTATAGACATGTTACTTTTCTTATTTTTATATCAAATCATGTAAAGATCAACTATAGAAATAAATCGTGTTTCATATAAAAATTGCATAAGAACCGTAAGATAGTCTTACATGAATTCTTAATAATTTCATTGAATTGTAATCAATGAAAAGAATGTTTTTTTGTAAATAAAAAATACGTGAAATAAAAAAAATAATCTATTTATTTTCAATTTGATATGTGTTCATCAAGCAATTATTTTTACAAAGAAATAAATAATCATTTTGTGATATTTCCTGTGGATTAATGATTATTTTATCTCATATAATTTCACTTATATAATAGAGAATCTATTTAAATCTAAAATAAAAATAAATATAGTTTCAATAATTCTAGAATCAGTTGTCTTCATAAAATTAATCTAGTAGAAAGTCTTATAATAAAAGAAACAGAATTAATATTGACGAATTTTCTGTCTGTTTGAGATCTTACGAAAAAACACAGTATATAGTAGACCAATAACAGATCTTCTTCTTTATAATATAGAAGTTTTTTGTATGATCGATAAAAAACACAACAGTTGTTTACTCCCTACAAATGACTTTTATCGTTCTGAGAGTCATTTTCTTGTTCTTTGTGTGATGTTCAGAATATAGAAGAAGTATCGCTAATCATCGTTTCTCCTGCTAATATTTTGGCATAGGAAATTAGCAGAACGCAAAAGTAGCTTACAGAATAATAGAAGTGAGTCATTATGAAAGATGTTTTATGATTATTAACACCGTCATTTCCTTTTATCACAGTTATGTCTATTGATCTATTTCATTATATATATATACATTGTCGCTTCCTTTTCTTTACTGCTTTCTCTTTTCTCTTTTCCGTTGTGATTGATAGGATTTCTCTGCATATTTTTGTTTTGCACATCGGATGGTTGTTTTCATCTATACGATTTATTATCTTCGTTCTATATATATATACATATTCTTTTAATTTGTCTTTTATTATATTTGCATAAAGTCTACCTATCATTTTCTATATCAATAAAAACTAGAAGAAAAATATATAAAACCATTTATATTAATACCATGTGAACTGAAATTGTGATTTAGTAGTATTTATATAATAAAACTATACGATTTATATTCAATTTCATTGATAATGATACATTATTTAAACTTAATTTTTCTTCTTATTCCACTACGATTTGTCCAGCCCGATGACTCTGAATTAAGCAACTTTTATCAAAAAATCATGTCGACAACAATTGGAAATAGTGTTCTATATGCATTAGATCATGATCCTATTCGACGCAAGTTATCAGTATTATCTTCAGATACATCTTTCAAACAAAATTACAATAAAGTTCCAATAATACCTTCAAGTACTGCTCGATATTATTTTCACACCATCGATAGGAAGACATATGAACATATAGAAGGAATTAAAAGATATAATGAATGGTATCAAAAACACCCGAAAGACCGTTGCTATTATATAGAAGGTAACACTTTCTAAGTAGATTGTAATCATACATTACAACTGAGATGATTTTATAAAACTATAACTTCGTTATTCATTATCATGGGTCTTTTTTGATATCTTGCTTTATTTCAGACGCAAATTAACTTTTTTTCGATATTCGAATAAAACAAAATACTTACGATTTTCATCTTTTGATATTTCGTATTGAGATCTATTAGAAAAGATGTCATTTATTTGTGATATCAAATCTGAGTGAATTGTTACTGTACTTCAGTTTGCTTTTATCTCCTATAAATTTAAAATTTCTAAGTTGCAAGACTATCGTTTTAGCAGTGAATTATTATCTCTTCAGGTGCATTTGATACTTCTTTTTCATGATGTTTTTTTTATGTTAATTGTAATGTCTAGGTCGTTATAAAAAGTGTGGTCATTCATCACAAACATGGTGCTGTCATAGTGAGTCAAATAATAAATTATTCTGAACATTCTTTTATATTAATTCACAAACATTTTTTCGGTTTCTAGTTCACGATCCTTGTGGGACAAACTCTAGCCGATGTAAAAAACAGACATCTACTGATATTAATATAACGGTATCATTTGTGTTATTGGGAACGGTCATCGGCGTTTCTTTCATTGGAGTGTGTGCCAAAATACGCTGTAGTTTACCTTGTGATTCACCGGTTTTGTCACGAACAAATTCGAGCATAAGACTACCACATAACGCAAATCCTAATGTACCGCCAATATCTCAACAAGGTTGGAATAGAAATATTTTACAAAGAGATATGATGGTTTCAATAGAATCTGAACGACCAGGAAGCATTAATTTGAATGATAGAAGAGTATCAATAATCGTCGAAGAACAAATTTCAGATTTACCACCAGCATATGATGAAATGACACGTCAAAGTTCAATAACCATTGAAACACAGCAACAGTTTTTACTACCTCCAACTTACGAAGATTTTATACGACGACAAAATAGAAACGATGAAACTAATTTATAATATTTATTATTATGTTATCATTTCTTAAAGATACATTCACTGTAATCTGGATAATTGATTACTGTAATGTTTAACCTTTTTTTTCGCCAAAGTTATTATGCACAGTAGTGCTCGCAACAGAACTGAATTAAATTCTCATGATAATATACAAAGTCTTTTTTCAACATAAATGAGTTTACTCCTTATATTTTGATTATATTCTTTTTTTTTGTACGGACAAACTTTTAAAATTTGAAGGTTGAGTATTATTCTTGACTAATTGAAGAGATTTCTCCATCTTGAAAATCTTAATTAGGACATAATCAGTTGGTATTTACATCAAATGAATTTAACGTCTCCATCACGACTGAAATATTTGAAAATGGATGAGTGAGTGTCATATGAACATATTTTATAGGCCCACACTCACACCCACTCTCAGAAAATATTTTTCCAAATACGATATGATTTCGTTTATTAAATAAAATTTTGTAAAAACAATCTTTTCTTCGAATATTGAACATTTATATGAACTATTTTAGTCAATAAAAAAAAATATCATAGAATTCTAATTGTATCATTCAAAATTAACCAACTCATCATCATTTTTAACTGGTTGAATAAGTCCATGTTTTGGTAAAACATTATTTGGAGTATCAAAATCAATGATCATACCATGATCTAATACAATAATTCGATCACTTTTAGCAACAGTATTTAATCGATGAGCAATAGTTAGAATTGTTCGATTTTGAAATTTATCTCCAATAACATTCTGGATTAATGAATCTGTTGCTCGATCAACATTTGCTGTTGCTTCATCAATCATTAATATTTTACTTTGTTTTAAAATAGCACGTGCAACACATATTAATTGACACTGACCAGCACTAAAATTACTACCCGATTCAGCTACTAATTGATGAAGACCAGCTGCATGATTAGAGACAATATGTTTTAATTGAACTGATTCAAGTGCTGAAAGACATTGATCATCTGTATATTGTTCAAAAGGATCTAGATTATAACGAAGTGTACCAGCAAATAAAATTGGTAATTGAGGAATAACACTTAATCGTGATCGAAGATCATGTAATGAAATATAATTTATATCAATACCATCAATAAGAATTTGACCATTTATAGATTGTCGATCAATAAGTCGAAATATAGCTTGTAATAAAGAAGATTTTCCTGCACCTGAAATTCATAGAAATAATAAAATTATTAATGAAAAATTTTGAAAATAAATAATACTAGACCTGTTCGACCAATAATACCGATTTTTTCTTTTGGTTCAATATGTAAACTAATATTATTAAGAACAGGTTCTAATTCAATACGATAACGCATTGAATATTGTTTAAATTCAATAACTCCTTGATTTGGCCAATCATCAGGTGGTTGTATAAGTAAATCATTATTATTTTTATCTTCTTCCGATGGTAATTGCCCATATTCATGAATACGTTCAGCACTTGTCATAAAATTTTCTGCTTCAGCTGATTGTCTTACAGCCCATTGAAAAAGCATCGTTAAATTAATACAATACATAAGACTAAGTGCTGCTGATGGTGCATTAATATCATGACGAAATGCTATTGTTAAAGCCGATGTAGCGAATGTAAGTAATGATGTCATTAGATCAAGTCGTAAACCAAACCAACGTACAGCCGAAATGACAATAAAAAAAGCACGTGAATTTGTATCAACTCGTTCAATAAATAATTGTACAAAGTCATCTTGTACATTAAATGCACGAATAGTTGAAAGACCACCATTTAAAGATGAAGAAAAAAGTGCATAAACAGGACTACGTGTTACACTTTCTAATCGTTTTATTTGACGACTTGAACGTAAATAAAAACGACGTAGATACCAAAAAGAAGGTAAAATAGGTATAAGAATAAGTAATACCCATGGATTAATAATACCAATAATAACTAATGAACCTACTGTCATTGATAAACATTGTATAGCATCAAATAATGTCATTGGTAATAATTCATCAATAACTTGTTGATCTTTACTAGCACGATTTAAAATACGTCCACTTGGATTACTTTCAAAAAATCGAAGTGATGTATATAACAATCCTTTTAACATACTATTGTGTAGACTATTTGAACCGGATAAAATCAAATAAAAATAATATTGTGCACGTAACAAAGAAATAATAAGTGTACCTAATGTTAAACCTAAATAGACATACATATTCGTCCATGATCTTTGTTCTTCATGTGATTTAGCTGACCATAAACTAAGCCATCGATTAGATACATCATAGGTTGCTTCGCCAATAACCATAACAATAATTAATAATAAAAGACCAAACCAACTGAAAGGTGTTGAAGCAAATAATTTATACCATATAGACCATGTTACAGCACCAACTGCAGCTGTTTCATTCGCAATAATTGATTTATTATCCTTAGTACTTTTAGTTACATCAGTTAGTAATGGTTGTAATATTATTTCTTCTGCTTCTTTATCAATTTCTTGGTCATTTGTTGTTGTTGATTGTATGTCATTATTTTGTTCAATTCTTGCTTCTGGATCAATCTTACCATCTTTCAAAAAGATAATTTGATGTGCTGATTCAAATAAAAAATGTGTCTGATGAGTAACTAAAAGACGTGTTTTGTCTTTTAATAATCCATTAGGTCCAATACATTGATCATAAATTCGTCGAGCTACATCTTGATCTACAGCTGAAAGTGGATCATCTAGTAAATAGATATCAGCATCGACATATAATGCTCTTGCTAATGCAATACGTGCTTTTTGTCCACCACTAACATTAACACCTTTTTCACCAACGACTATTAAATCACCAATATCTCCAAATGTAGCAAAATCAACATCTAGACAACATGCTTGTATTACATTTGCATAACGTTGTTCATCAAATGATTTACCAAGAAGAATATTAGCTCGAATAGTATCAGCAAATATCCACGGAGATTGTACAGCATATGCAAAAGAACCACGTACTCGAGATGTACCATCTATTAATGTCATTTCACCTAGAATGGCAGATAATAAAGATGATTTGCCAGCTCCAACAGGTCCAACAATACCCACTAATGTACCAGGTTCACTATTAATTGTAAGATTAGTTAAACAAGTTGTTTCTGACCATGAGAATGATGCATTATTCATTGATATACCTATACCTATTGTTTCATTATGTTCATCTGTTGTTATTTGTTCTTGAATTTTTGTTAATCGCATAAATGCATCTATACGTTTGGATGCAGCTAACATTTCAGCAAAACGTTCAATAGCAACTGGTAAATAATTTGTTATTGATACTCGCATTAAAGCAAAAAATGTCAGAGCAGTAAAAATATCTACTGGTTTAAAATCATGACCCATAAACCAATAACCACCAAAAGTTGCTAAAGAAATCAATGGTAATGAAGAAAAATATAAACCCATATTAACAGCACGTAAACGACTTGCACGACGTATACTAGCTAATTCGTTTTGACGTAAATTTGTAATACGTTGTTCCATAGATTTTTCCCAATTATACATTTTAACAATTTGACATCCATTAACAAGTTCATTAACTGCTTGTACACGTTTATCAGCACATGCCATTGTTCTCCGACGATATTTACTGAATTTTCGTCCAAATGCTAATTGTAAAGGTAATAGAACAGCAAGTACACCATAACCAAATAATGTTGGTAATAAACCAATTGACCACCATATTAAACCAAATGCAATCGATGCTTGAAGTGGTACTTCCCAAAGATAATGCATATATTGACCAAATTCTTCGAATTTACTTGCATCATTAGCAACTAAATTAATTATTTGTGCAGCTGTTGTTGTTTGTTGTAAAGATGCTGTACTAAGTGATAATAAACGTTTATAAATTGTTGCTGATAGTGCATTACGAACACGCATACCCAAACGAGTCGTACGAAAATAAGCTTGTTGATGAAGAAAAGCTTGTGTTGCTGAACATACAAATAAACCCAGAGCATATAAATAACCAATATAAGCTTGAATAGATGTTAATGGTGGATCAGGTTGAGATTTTTGATCAATTATATATAGTACGATCTGTCGAAGAAGTAATGGTTGAGCAACTCGTGCTGCATTATATGGTAGTAATAAAAATATAACAAAAGCACATTGTTTCCAAAAAGCTCGTAAAACTATACGCCATGTTGTTGTATCTGTTAACCAAATGTTATTATCACTATAATAATTTAATTTATTTAATACTACAGAACATCTATCATTCATTGATAGATCATCAAGATCTTCATCTTTCAATTCACGTTTATAACCTAATGAAAGTATAGGATTAAGCCATGACCAAAATAAAACATCAAAGACACGTAAAATAGATGAATGAGCCCAGTCATAACGACTTGATTGCCTTGGCATGTCTTACTACTCGAATAAAAGCACATTATTCTTTGTTATTCTGTATATCATATTTAACTTAGTTCTTGCACGCTTATCTCTTATACTGTAAAATATGCACTATCATTATGTTGTGTTATTTATCAAAGACTTTAAACTTTGTATCATATAATCATTCTTACATTCTATTATTTTAAAACATTATACAAAACTATTTCTGTGTATTAATTTGTTTTGCAATTGTCAAATCATATTGTTTTGTTTTTCATGTTATTGACATTTATCCGACTTACTTTTTTTTAAAAATTTAATTTATTTTTAATGAAATAGAAGTGTAAATATTGTTTCCGTAAGAAAAGTATACAAGATTAAATCATGTATTATATTTAAAATAAAAATTGATTGTTTTCCACATCTTTCCATGCTAAATTAAAAATTTACATGTAATATAAAAAAGTAGATTGCAATCTCGGAAACGAATATTGATTTAATAATGATAGAAAGTAGGCTGATAAATGTGCAATAAATACAAATAGAGTATCGGAAGACGTAAAAAAATATTTGTATTTACCAATCTACTAAAAAATGTACGGCTACTTCAATGTACTATTTTATATTATAAATACACTTGGTTATTTTCAACAAAACAAATCAGAAGTATATGATGATCGTTCTCCTGTTTGCTGTTCTTATCATGCAAATCTCTACTATGTCTATTCCTTATATTGAAAATGTATATTTTCAATCTGTAAGTTCAAATTCAGATGTAACTGTACGTTTTAATAATTCATGTCAAGAATGTCTATGTGAAAGTCTCTTTGGAAATATCAGCAATAATGATTATGTTGCATTAAATTGTTTTACAAATAATACATGTCAATTTTTTCAATATTTCCCTACATCATATAAATTAAGTGTGTCTAATGGAACTCGACTCTATTTTCTTCAACAACAATTTCCTAATGCGAGCAAATGTTGTATATCAAATATAACTGAACTTATGGATCGATTACAAACTGTGACACCGACTACAATAAATCTTACATTTAAACCTGCAGCATTTGGATATGATCCATCTGTACCATCGGAAGCAGCTATTATTGGTTACGATTCAGGTAATTTATACTGGTTCAATCCGCTTACGACGGCGTTTATAAGAAATACTTCGATAGACACTACACTTACTCTTGCTTTGTATGAAAATCAAACATTCACAGCTAATAATGGCATTTCTGTTATTAACATAAGAGATAAGCAAACAAATAATTATATCAATAACGTCAGTTATCCGAGTTTGGGTTCAGTTCGTAAAATTATTTTTATAAATGATGGACAAACAATGGTAGTTTCTACACAAAACAATCTATCATTGAGTGTTTTTGATGTTAATTCTCCCATGAATTATACATATCGAGTAATAATTATTAATATTTGTTTTTTAGAAATAAATTAAATGTTTATTTTAGGAACAAATTCCAGTTCCATTATTAAATGCTCATGGTATCGCCAAAGTTAATGATACTTTTTTGTATGTATCATCATGGAGTGATCAAAGTATTGCTTCATGTAAATATGAAAATGCAATGTGGAATCAAACGATATTTGTTAATTATACAATAACTACCGCTGGTTCTCATATAGCAGTAGATGATTGTGAAAGAGTTTGGTTTATTAATACTCAATTTGGTTTGCGTATTTATGATTCATCCGGCACAGAAATTTCCAATTGGAATATGAGTTTAAGTTCTACTAATACTATATATGATATTCTTCTTCTTCCTAATTATGTCTTATTGATTACACACGTTGAACACATGAAAATAGTTCAATATGATCCACAAATGACATGTTCATAAACAGGATTTTATTTTTGTATTTTGAATTATTTAAACAAATCTATATACGTATAAATTGAGTGATAAATTATTTTACAGATTAGTTCATTTACCTACTACATCACTATATGCTTGATTTTATTAAATAACTGATAAAATAACAAAATACAGATGAATATATGACTTTTTTTAAGAAGTGAAAGCTAGTCGTTATCACGCTTGAATACGTTAAGTGAAGGTTATCAGGGTATAATAAGAAAATTCTTCTAAGTTAACAAACACAAAGATACACATAAGAAATGAAATCTATTTAATAGAAATGTTTTTTTTTAATTGTTGTATTGAGCAACGAGAAATTAAATCTTATGGTTGTTTTCCTTTTAATTCCGGTGGAATAATACAACGTGGAATTTCAACCATTTTATGTAAATTCGCATTATGTCGTTTATTATAAATTTCAATAACTTGTTTTTGTCGATCAGTTAATGTTGCTTCTCCTTGTTTTGTATTAGCTAAATCAAGATGATCCATAGCCCATTCTAGTTCATCATATGTAGCACCAATTTGATCTTCATCTGTTCTTGTATCACCAAATAAACCATCAGTTGGTGGTGCCTTAATGATTTCTTGTGAAACACCTAATGCAGCAGCTACAGCACGTACTTCAGATTTCATTAAATCAGCGATTGGACTTATATCAACACCACCATCACCTTTAATCAATACAAAATTTATAAAAAAAAACTTTCCTTTTAATTAATTCTTACCATATTTTGTAAAGAAACCAACACCAAAATCTTCAACTTTGTTACCAGTACCAGCAACAAGGTAACCTTTGAGTGAAGCAAAATAATATAAATTAACCTTAAAATAAAAAGAAATTTGATTATTTTCGAAGTAGAATATAATTATACATACCATTCTTAAACGTGATCTCATATTAGCAAATGCAACCTCTGAATAAGAATTTTCTTCATTAATTGGATTTGCTTTAACTGTTTTTTCAAAAGTTTCAAAAACATCAGTTAAATTAACTTCACCACCTGTTACATTTGGAAATTTTTTTGAAAGCCATTCAATATGTGCTCGACTTCGTTGTATTTCAGTTGATGATTGTCGAATTGGCATTTCAATAACAAGTACAGGTGCACCAGTACGAGCACATAATGTTGATACAACAGCTGAATCTATTCCACCTGATACACCAATAACAAAACCTTTAGAAAAACTACTTTGTTGATAATTTTTAAGCCATTGTGTTATATATTCAACAATTTTTTCTGCTGTCATTTTTATTCAAAATCTAAAAAATTGTTTCAATAAGTGCAAACTTCAATAATATAAAATTAATAATTGAAGAAAAAAAACGATATATACGCGCAATTTATTGGTATATTTTTCTTATTATTTACTTAATATTCTTGTTATACATGAATTGAAAGAAAACAAGGTAAGATATCACAGAATACATACGAGAGAGAACGAAAAGAAAAGAAAAGAAAAAACGATAATATTTCTGACTAGAAACAGAAACTGTATTTATTTGTTCGCCATTTTTAACATTCAAGTTCGATATAATCGATTATCCGCTGTCGATCCTAGAATAAATACAAATTAATTTTTTGTTTCCGAATAACTCAATCGTGTATTTTAGTGATGAATGCGTCGATCATTTTAGGATTGACAATAAGCGGGCTAGTGAGCAGCATTTCTTCTGTCTTTGTTTTATTAGAAAAAAAATTAAGATTTATTCAAGAAAGCATCAACAACGAGCACCAAAAGTCAAAACAAGAAAAAAGAAAAACAAATGACTTTAATAAACAACATAACAAACACACCAAAACTTTTTCATAATATTGCACAGAAAATGAAACGAGTATTCGACGGAAAAAAAAGAAGCAAGAGCAAAGAAGCAGCCAAGCAAAACGAATTTATATAAAGTGAACGCTTATGCAAGTGTGTGTATAAAAAAAGAATAAATGAGTCATTAAACTGTTTAAATAACCGATATGAAATTGAAATTTATTTTTGATTAGAAATTATTCGTTTAAAAACTTTATCGATGAATTATGAAATGAAAAATACAATACTCAAACAGAAATTTACTTTCGTTTTAAATAGAAAAAAATTTTGAATTTAATTAAAATAAAAGATTTTATAATAATATAATGACTAACAGTGTAATGACTCATTCATAAACGGATAGTATCACAATTTCGAACAATCTAACACTTCAAGAGGGTTGGTGCTTATTTTACAATTACAAGCGATATTCGTTGGCATTCTCTCCAGACTTACATTATTATTATTGTTATTATTTCTTGTTGATTTTGTTACAACAAATGATCCATCGTCAAATGTATCATCGAGAATATCATTGAAATGGTCTTGTCTTCGTTTTGATTTTTTATTTGTTCGTTGTAATGTATCACATTGATCACGTACAAAATTAACAAATACATTATCAAGTGTATTTTGAGATACACTATAATCATTTATACGTTGATCAATTAATAAATTTTCAAGTTTAGAAAAAATATCTTTTAATGAAACATATTGTTCAGCTATTTCATATTGTAAAACATTTACATGACGTTCTTTTAGAATATAATTCGATGAAAAACAATCAACAATTGATTGATCAGTTGTTGAATTTATTGAAGATTTTAAACGAATTTTTATTGTATAACCATCACCAAAACGATTTTTTAAATGTTGATTTGAACCAAGACAACGAAAAGTACCATTTACCATTATGGCTATTGATGAACAAAGTACTTCACATTCTTCCATACTAAATAATAAGTTATATATTAATAATAAAACTTATAGTTTTATACAATTTTTTTAAGAAATTATATTTACCTGTGTGAAGTAAGTATAACTGATTTTCCTTCTTTAACTAAACGTCTAATAACATTCCATAGAAATCTTCTTGATGATGGATCCATTCCACTTGTTGGTTCATCTAGAAATGCAATTGAAGGATCACCAACAAGTGCCATAGCTGTAGATAATTTTCTTCGATTTCCTAATGATAATTTTCCGACAGGTATATTTAAATATTCACATAAATCTAAACGTTTTAATAATTGTTGTACATGTTGATTTTCATCTTGCCAATGTATTCCTCTTAAACGTGCCATTAACAGCATATGTTCAACAGGTGTTAATTCATCAAAAAGTGCATCAAATTGTGGACAATATCCAATATATTTAAAAACTTGTTGTTTTTGTTTAATACTATCATAACCATGTACATATGAATAGCCAGCTGTTGGACGTAGATCACCAGTTAACATTCGAAATGTTGTTGTTTTACCTGCACCATTAACACCACATAAACCAAAACATTCACCTGCACGAATACCCATACATATATTATTAACAGCAATTAATTTCTTCGATTTTTTTGTACGATAACATTTTGATAAATTTGACATAACTAATATGTTATCATCAACAGTTTTATTAAGTATCTGTCGACGAGCTTGTGCAACATCATCATCTTCATCTAAATGTGAATATGGTAAAGCATCAGGAATTGATGGAGAATAAAAAAATCCATATTCAAGTAATAATGTTAATATCCAAAATACTAAACCACATATAGCCATTGAAACTAAATTTGATACAGTTATATCCCATATAAATGGTGTACGAATACGATCATTTAAACCAGTTTTTTTATAAAATGAATTGTAATAATCCTATGAAAATAGAAAATATTTACAATTTAATTAACTTATAAGTTTTATATTTATGGGTTTAGGACACTTGTGAGTAACTGACCGTTTCCCCTCATACTCAATTCATTTATTATAAAAAAAATTTCTTTCTATAAAACTTACATTATATGCAATATCGATTAAACCTCTTCCCAAACAATAATTTGGAAAAATTTTAAATATATTTTTCATTGTTCTTGTAATAATACTTAATGTTGATGTTGCTGGACTACCAAGTGCAAATATTTCAAGAAAAAATGATGTATATATACATGTAATACCACTAAATAAATTAATAACAATTAAAAATATATATGCATTACTTGGTTCAGTAAAACGAAAACTAAATGGATACATCACAGGTATAATTGACCAACCATACATAAGAAATAAACTTATAACAGCAAGAAAATTTTCTCCTTCAACATAAGCTGGAACATTAAATAAACGTAAAATAACTATAACACATGTAGCTGGTAAAAGATAATTCAATAGATCCCAAACAAAATTTGTTAACCAATAAACTAATGGATAAAGACCATTGATATATTGAATATGTTTAGATTTAGTTGCACGTTCATAAACAAGAAATAATGTAAATGATGCAGGTACAAATGACATAGCTACTATAATAAATATTGATATAATAACATCAGATCCTTGTAAAATAAATTCAGTTGATAACATATTATTTGTTTCATTCATTGGATCTAAAATTATATAAATAAAAAAATATAAAGTTACTTTTCAATTTAGAGAACTTACGATTAATAGTTGTAATTCCATATGCAGATGGTAGACCTTTTTCTAATGGTAAATTAGCTCGAAGAATAATATTTGACATAATATTAATATACAATGGTAAACTATGATAACCTTTATGATTAGTAAATATTCTTGCCGTATTTTTTACAGCTAATTTATGTAAATATTGATTATCTTTATTAATTGGATAATTATCTTGTATATAATCTTGTGCTAAACCAAATGATAAACCACCATAACGATCTAAATGATGATTATCAGTTGTATATAAATAATAGAGAATTTCATTTTCTTCTTTTGTTATATTTAATATTCTATCATTTGTTATTAAACGATATGATTTTGGTGGATGAAATGATGAGCATAAAAATCTTGATTGACCTATTGAACAAGAACAAGGTGAATAATATGTATTATTTGAAGTATTTTCTAATTGATATGTTCGATTAAGATGTAATTGATTATTATTAACCATATCTATCCAATTAATATCATATTTCTTATAAGATTGAAAATCATGTTGATAAACTTTTTCACATAATGTTCCAGTTAAATTTTCAAATGTTAACGTTGTTTGATTCATATATGGATTATTAAGTAAACATGTTGAACCTAGACCAGATGGATAACGTATTGTTTCAATTAAATCATATGGATTTGCATTAACTGTTAATAATTGTGAATTATTTTTTAATTTATAATTATTTAAACCAGATACAGGTGTATATAGAAAATTTAAATTTGAAAACATTGCTGTTGATAATGTGATGGGAGGTGGATCAGAAAACCCAGGTGCTGTTAATGCCACAGTCATTGCAACAGTTATAAAAAATGCAGGTAACAAAATTTGTGTAGCTAAACCACGCATATTACGATAATTAAATATAAAACGTTTGATTATTATTGCTAAAGCTTGTTTAGCATAAAGACGTGTTCCAGTTACACGATCATGTAAAAGTTCTATTTTAGGTATTGTTGAATCTGGTGTATCAGTAGTACTCTCATGTCTTTCACTCGGATTATCATGATTATACTGTGCTTCAACTGCTGCTGCATTTGGTGATTTTTTATATTGTTCTGTAACTTTGAGAAAAACTTCTTCTAATGAAACATCTTGTAAACCATAACCTGTTAATGATAAGGATTCTTTTCGTGAATCAAGTATTGAAAAAAATTCAGGAAATAAATGACGACTTTTTAATGGTAAAACATATTGAAGTTCCCTAAAAAAAACATAATTTTTTGTTTCATTCTATAAATACAAATAATATTTCATTTACTTTCTTGTTTCTTCTTTAAGATATGCATTTGGTATACATTGTGTTATTGTCGCTGTTACATCATCTTTCGAAGACATCCATGGATCTTTAAAAAATATTTTTCCAAATAAATGAAAATTTCAAAAAAATTCTTTCACCTTTTTTAACTAATGTTAAAACATAACCTTCACCGAATGTTGTTTTAAGAAATAATGATGTTCCACAACATTTTAATTGTCCATCTATATTTAAAAGATACAATAATTTTCAAAATAAAATTAAAATCTACTTGAAATAATTGCAATTCTATCACCAAGTACATCAGCTTCATCCATATGATGACTACTTAATAATATTGTACGTCCTTGTTTTAATTTTATTAATAATTCCCATATAGCACGACGTGCATAAGGATCAACACCAGCTGTTGGTTCATCAAGAATGATTGTTTTTGCATCACCAACAAAAGCCCTTTGAAAGAAAATATAATAAATGTGATCTATTGAATAGAAATCTTACATAGCAACAGATAATTTTCTTTTCATTCCACCGGATAATGTTGAAACTGTAGCATTACGTTTTGATGTTAAACCAATATCAAATAACATACTAAAGAAAAAATGTTTTTTTAGAATATTTTAAATGAAAAATTTTTTTTTACTTTTCAATCATTTTTTTCATTTCTTTACTTTGTACTTGTTTTAATTTGGAAAAAAATAATAAATGTTCTTCAACAGTTAATTTTTCAAATAAAACATTCTATTAATAAATAAAGATTGATATGAAAAAGAAAAAAAAGAAATTTTATTCTACATGTTGTGGACACCATCCAAGATTTTTTCGTATTTTATCCATATCAACATTAATGTTTTGATCATAGATTGTTGCAGTTCCAGATGTAGCAGGTATAAGACCGGTCAAAATTGACCTACATTATCATTTTTTAAATTTAAATTATATATAAAGATTTAAAAACTTACATAGTTGTAGTTTTTCCAGCACCATTATGTCCAAGAAATGAAAGTATTTCACCTTCATACAAATCTAATGATAAATTTTGTACAGCAAATTTTTTTTTATCAAATATTTTTGTTAAATTTATTAAACGAACACCAATTGTTTGTTGATTGGAATTTTCATCATGTTCAAAATAACCTAAAAATAATTAATTTCTATTCGTTCTAGTGAATATAATGTTAACGAGTGTATTCTTTTCTTTAGAATATGTACTTGACACGAACTTTATCCTTTCTTTATTCTACGAAACAATTCTTTTATCTCTTATTCTCTTTCTCGTAGAGAAGAGTCCAGTAACAATTAATTGTTTGCTTGCTTGTCTGTCCGCAGGGTCAAAAAAACATCGAAAATCAATTTTCTGGAAAAGACATTTCTAGAGGTATTTCGACGCGGGGAGTTCGAACCTAAAGTCTGTTGGGTGGCCATGATGAGGGGGAGGGGCTGAAGAGGGCACAAAGATCAAAAAAATATCGATATATATATGTGTGAAAAATGACTGCTGTGTTTTTTTTAAATTACTTTGATTTCGGTTCAAATCATTTGTCATTTGATTTAAAGATGATGATGACCAATGGAATTGATATGACATATGATGTTTTTTACATATAAACCAATTAAATATTTTTGTTTTTCGAAAGTTTGTCATCCAATTTGGTTCATTATATGATTCTCCTGTCCAATAACTTATTGTAAATGGAAAATACCATTTCTTTGGTATTCCAAATGTACCTAAAAATAAAATTTATCAATAAGAAATTATTTCTTTCTATGAAAATACCCGGATAAACATTTTCAATATACCACATAAGAATAAGATGTATACATGTATCCAATAACATAAAAAGTACAGTTTCAAAACAAGTAAATCTATCACCTTCTACTGGACTATAACGAATATTATCAAACTGTATTCCTGTACCAATATTTTCATAAAATGCTATATATTTAGCTCCCATACCAAAAGCACTTGTAGAAAATAATGACTAATAAAAAATAAATAATAATTTTCTCTATCCATCACCTTTTTCTTTCTAAACTAATTTATCTTACCGCTAACATTTTTGCCCATTTCGGTATTGTATCTTGTGCTAAATCTTCTCTGATTGATATATACATACATGGTACATATGTTAATAAATAAATAATTCCTGCACAAGCTGCTGCTATTTTAGCTTTCGAATAAAAAACACTAACAAGAAATCTAAATATTTCAAATAAATTTTTTCTTCCTGTAAATATAATTCTTTAAACATACGCAAGACTTATTGTTGAAAGTGCATAAATTTCAAATATTAAAAATATTAAAAATGCATTCGAATGCATAAGAACTTTGCCATAATGTAAAATAATTGTTACAGCAACCATAACAACTGTTGTTTGACTAAATATTGTTATAAACCAAGCTACCCAATGTACACCATTACTTAAACCCATGATTTTCATAACTTCTTTTAATCGAACTTCTTTTTCATAAACTATACTTTGAGTTAACATAGCAAATGCATATACCCAAGATATTGTTAAACATAAAGGAAGTGCATGTTGAATCATTTGAAGAAAACTAAAAACGTGTTTATTTAGTATAACCATAAAACAAAATAGTTTCAATTATTACTTGTCATAAGTATAACAAGGATATGCCATTTCTTGAAAGAATAAACCAGGTTCAACTACAGATCGACCAACTTGAGTATCAATTATAGAACGATCAATTACTTCCTAAAATGAATTATTTAATAAATCATACTAAGGAATATTTATTTACCTGGACCCAACTAAATCCAAAATCATAATAAATAAAACCATTTTGTGCTGGTGATGGTACCCAGAATCGGTCTCTAACACGTTTTGTTGATGGTGTTAAAGATGCATTTTGTCGAATTTTATATATTGTATTTGGTGGTAATTTTGTATCATTTATATTTACATTCGTAAAAACTACACTTGCTAAAACAGTGTAATTATCATGATATGCTCGATGTAAAAAATATTGTACTAAATCATTTTCATCAGCAAAACCTTTGTAGACATTTAAATTAATTCCTGATATAAGACTTATCCAACTGCATGCAGCTTTATCAATTGTTGTTATTTGTTTCATATAATTGTCAATTGAAGGATCACTTAAATTTTTAAGAATATTTACAATTTTATTCATTGCTGGTGAATGAAATAATGGACCGTATTGTTGAAGAAACAATTTCATCTAAATTAATTCAAATAAAATATTTTAATTGTTTTTTTTTTTTTTTGATATATTACTCGTCTAAGCGATTCAACTTTTTTTTCGGTACCATTAGCAAGAAAATATGTTTTAAGAGTATTTGATACATTTGTCCATTCATGTGCATATTTTGTTATTGTATCAAGTAGAACAAACGTTGAATTTGCTTTTGATATAACACCATTGATTAATGACGAATTTGGTGAATATAAAATCATTGAATTTCCATAGAGAACATAAAATAAAAGACCTAATTGTCGTTGTTGATTATCCGATATACCCAATTCCGCTAAAAATAATTTCATAGAAATTTATTTTATATTAAATAAAAAAAAATAACAAACCAAGATCAGGTAATTGATCATCTTCGTCATTTGTTTGTCCATTTGAATTCACATTTACTTTTGGTTTAATACCACATATAGCTTCTTGCATACCAAGCCATAATGGAAAAAATCCTTTTTTATTTTTTAATTTATTCATTGCCACCGATTCCTACAAATAAAACAATTAAATTATTAATTTCTTTAGATAATTTTATATAAAGTTTCTTAATGTATTCTACTACCTTGAGAATAGAATCTATAAATAATTAAGGTGTTTATGATTTAATGAAATCATCAAATATTCTTCATATTTACGAAGTCATTTTCTTAATGAACGAATCAATTTATTACAAGGATACTATCCAGAGGAATGTCTATCTTAATTTTTAAAGAATAATACAAAAAAACTTTACCACATTGCCAGATAAAGCTTCTGCAGATGGTGGTTGTGGTGTTGATGCTTCACTATTATTTTGTGTATTAATATAACAAGAATTAGTTCGAAGAAGTTTTGCAACATCATATAAATCTTTTAAACCTTGTTCAAACATTGCATATTTTTCAAGCTAGAAAAAAACACATTTTTGTTTCCGATAAATAATTTTTTTATTATTTATATTACTTTATCGGCATAATCATCAAGTTGAAGCAACATTGTTGATAGTTGTACATGATCCAGTTGTAACTAAATAATAGAAATTAGAAAATAAATCAATTTATTTAAATATAGATATTTTACCACTTGAAGAAGTTCATCATCTGATATTGAATTCATAAGTAGACTTGATAAATTTTGATATTGTGCTTCAGTCATATTACATAATCGTTGTTGTATATCCGTCTAAATTTAATTAAAAATTAATTGAAAATTTTTTTAAAAATAGTTTTCTTTTTACTTGATTAAGTGTTGTTGAATTCGTAGGAAAAATTAAATTAAATTTTTCTACTGAACAAAAAACTTGTTTTAAGGTCGTTGGATGAAAAAGTATTATCTAAATAAATTTTACAGCGTTTGTTTGGTCTTCTCGAAAAAAAAGTATTTTTCATTTACTTTAATAATTTTAGCTAATAAATGAAGTTCATCGTTTGTTAAATTTGCAAATGAATTTTGTGATGTTATCTTTACAATCAACATTGTTGCTTGAAGAAATTCTAAGGGTCCAAGTGATGTTTGTAAAATTGAAATATAATCAGCCATATCGAAATCATCTTCAATATCACGTTTTTCCCGAATTGGACGATTGTGAATTAAATATGGAAAAAGACTCGGTACCTATAGAAATAAGAATAGATTAATAATCTGTTTACAAATAGAAATCAAGTTAGGAAAAAAAAGCACGTCAGTTAAAATATTATTTCTGTCCTTTTTATTCATCACACCAATATGTTCACCTACTGCTAAATCTCTTTTTGTTCTTGACTGAAAAAGTTTAGATATATATGAAATATATATTTTGTCTAAGTTTATCTTTTTACTTGAGTTATATTGATATTTGTATTATTAAATATAAGTTCACATTGTTGATAGGTATAATTAAGTTGATTAACAAAAAATGAACAAATTGTTGTTAAATTTTTTGTAAATGTATATGTTAAATTTGCTACAGAATCATAAATAAATGCAGGACGATCTATCATTGTTTCGTACATATCAGGTAATGAATCAACATCAAACATTGAAAAATTTTGAGTAAAAAATGGATTTGTACGAGATATTCGATCGATTGTTGTTAACATTTCTGATGATCTAAAAAATAAATATTATTAATTTCCTTTTGATTGCGATTGTTTATTACTTACGTTCCATTTGGAAAAACACTAAAACCTTGCTCATTACTTGGAGCTGTTTTTGGACAAAAAGATTGAAGAATAGAAAAAACTCCTGTTGATGGAAATGGTCTTGGACGATATGAATGATCAAGAAAATTCGAAGTATAATTAGCTAAAAAAGACAAAAATTTCGATTTCTTTTTTTTTCGAATCAAAAATATTACTTTGAAGATTAAATGATGCTTGTTGAGTTTTTCTTATTCCAGTCATTACAAGAAATAAAACTAATGGAATAATAAGTTCGAATAGAAGTACAAACTAATAAAAAAATCATTATTATTTTAACATTATTTTATTGAAAATAACTTACAGGACTTCGTTTTTTGAGAATATAATTTTTCCATAAAAGAACTTTAAGTTGATGAAGAAAAAGCATTTTGATAATAAAGAATTTATATCGGCTAAATTACTTCATCTAGAAGAAAAATAACAGGAACATAATATTTATATTTTAAACACTAAAGAAAGTTTGATTAATAGAAGAATTTTTTGTTTGTTGATCATTTAATGGTGTTTGCGTATGAAGAAATGATTGCAATGAACCCACACCTGGTCGATTATTTAAACCAGATTTAAATTGTGTTAGACTACTTTCTACACATTGTTTATAAGTTCTATAATTATAATCAGAAATAAATATTAATTAGAAGAAGAAAAAAAAGAAAATTATACGTTAAAAGTGATGGATGAATATATTTTTTAAAATTATCATTTGCTTCATCAAGTGCATGTAATTCCAAAAATGATCCTTCACTTTCAGAAAATTCCTTTTTAACAAAATAAATTTTCATTTAATTTTATAAAATTTTTTTTTGCTCAAAAACCTTCATTTGAATAACTAGAGCCACAAGTTTTGTAATCAATTGAATATTTCCTTCGTTAATAACCATTGTTGGTATCTATATGAAAATAAAAGATTTTATTTGATTTTTTCATTCATGTAAACATACATTAAGTTTATTAATAAGTTCTTTTGCTATTCGTTGTGATCTATCACATACGAATTTTGTATCATTGAATACAACAAGTAATTGTTCGTCAGTAACAATCTGAATTAAAAAAATAATTTCTTTTCTTTTCTTTCGGTTGAATTACTTTTCGACAGATATTGTTAATTTCATCGATAAATTTTGCTAAATATTCATTTAATTTAGCTAACCATTGAATTAAATGTGCATAATCTCGTCGAAAAACATCACTCAATGGAATTTGTCTACTTATCTAAATAGATTTTGTTTTCGTAAATTAATATAAAAATCAAAAGATTCAAACTTCATATTCAGCTTGATCATTCATTTTACGTAAATTTTCAATTGAATCACGTTTAGCACAAAGTATTCGTGATACTCGAATAATAAGATATAATAATCGATCTGGAATTTTCGTAATTACATCTGTTTTTGTTATCATCTCATCTTCATCCGTTGTTTGAAGATCATCATCACCATCATTAAAATATGTCTACAAAAAAAAACTCTAAATCTATCAGAACAAAAAGAGCTATATATTTATATACTTGATTTTTTTCACCAAATTTAATAAGTTTTAATCTATCAGCAAGGACAGTACGTTCAAGTGGTTCTTCAGACTTAAATAATAAATAATAATAATTGTTTGTGTTTTTATTACTCAAGGTTTTCTTTTTTTTATACCATAATATCATAATCATTAACATCCAATAGACCAATATTTGGATCATCGAATAAAATTTTATACTGTTGATGATTATTATCATTTCGTGCAAGGAATTGTCCACGATATAAACCATAGTGTTTTAATCGAAAAAGTCGAACTAAATTTATTTGATTTATTTTAATTTTATTCAATAGAAAACAAACCAATAACACGAGATCCTATTTGTATTGGTGAATGAATTATTGATGGAAGATTATTTAAAAAGATTTTTTCTGATTGATAATGTGTATTTGTTTCATGTTGAATAATACGAAGTAAATTTCGTTGTTTAGATAATTTTATTCGTTCATTTTCAAGATATGCAGATGATAATCTATTGACAAAAATATTAATCGCCTTAGCTTTTTTGTATTTGAATATTTACCTTCGAGGTTTACCAAATCGACGTCGTATTAAATTCCATTGATGTCGAGTAAATTGCATAGATTTATTATGAATAAATTCAGGAAAAAAATGTTCCATACAATTTTCAAATTCATTTTCTGTAGTAAATAAACACCTATGGTTAAGAAAGAAAAAAAACGGAAAAAATGATATTGTCTTCATTTATACATTATAAAATAATATGACGTCGTTATTATGACAAACATATAGAAAAATTAAAGGAGAAAGAGAAAAAAAATACGACATTTTGTAACCGAGAAAAGGATTTTGTTGCGTATATTGTTCTATATCGGAGTAAATGAACAGAAAGAGAGAACGTAAAAAAAAAGAAATAGAAGCCAGTGTTTTGGTATTTTTATGATTCAATTTAAATATAGAACGTTAAGCGCATTACCTTGAAATGTTTCTATACATCCTTGAACATCACAAGGACGTTTATTAATAAAAAATATATATAGAAAAAAAAGCACGCGTATCGTTTACATTATTAACTGAAGACACTCATTCTATTCTATTGGATATACTTGACTGAAAATATGACCTCACTGTCAAGGATCACCGAAGGTGAATATAACTACCAATTAACACTGATATTTCAAAAGAAAAACTGTTTTAATAATTAGAAATTTATTCAAATAGATTTGACCCTAAAAAAATATTTACTTAAGTTTATCAAACCGAACTCTGTCACTTATTGTCTGTCAATAATGAAAAAGAAAAATATTACTGAGATAAAATAAAACATAAAGTGGAATAAACTCGGTAGTTATAATTATAAGCCAATAAAATTTTCTCATAAACGCTATTTTTTCTCTCTCTCTTCTCTGATAAGAATCACGAGAAGGTGGCAGCCGTCAACATAACTCATATCATTATGACAGTTTTTTTTCCTATTCTGTAGAAACATAATCAGTGATAATACTATTTACTGAGAATGCGTTCTCGTAATTTTTTTTTAACGACTAAAAAAAAACTTTTAGCTTGAACGAACATACGAGAAGTAGTATGACATTTTCTATATTTACCATGATAACATTATTATATATATTCAGTCCACTGTGATAATCTTAATATTGTTTGAATAATTACTCTATCATATCTCTTATCCGTTGGATAATAAAGAAACTAAGATAAGTTTTCTGTTGAAATTTTATGGCTGTATTTCGAAAGAATCATTTTTGTTTTTGAAAAGATAATTAAAAATTACCAGTCAATATCTGAATAAAACCATTCACAAATCATCCATCGTTGAGCTTTAGCATTGAGTAGAAAATGTTTTAAATGACCAACATTTATTTTCTAATTTCAAAAAATATTTTTTTAGAAATTTTTACAATAAAATAATAAATAATAAAATTCTAACCAAAGAAGATTTTTGGGAGTTGTTCAATAGTACGTCGATTGTTGTCGTCATATTTAATTTAGAGATTAACGACAAGAAAAAGAAGAAAAATCACCCGACAGAACTCGACACTAACATTCTTTCATTTCTCATTCGATTTAATAATCAACCATTGAAATTTTCGTTCTTAACCTCCTACTTCACTATATATATTCATGTATATCATTGACAGTTGCGCCAATTCATTTGATTGGTAGAATACGAAGATAAAGAGCGAAAATAAGAAAGACCTATTCATACAAAGAATAACGCAATCGAAAAGGGGAAAAGTTATTCTAAGTGACAATTTATTTTCATATTAAAATTGAAAAACATGTCTGCTCCACATGATGATAGTATTCCACATGAAGGTATGTTTAGATTTAAGATTTTGTTTTTGTGTTAAAACATCTATCACATTATGTTTTAACGATAGTACTTATTCCTAATAAGAATAACTAAACACGTTGAATACTTTGTCTAGACATTTAGCTGTTATCACGAAAAAGATAAAAACATTGATCTCGACAAGTTCTTTATAGACTCTGTCAATGTTTTCATCTGCGATGTAATGTTTTTGCATCATTAATAATAAACACTTACGCGCTATTCTATCTTTAAAATAGAGAAATATTATATTGAGCCAATGCAACTGATCAGATTTCTGTCTCATGTTTAACTTTTAACAAAAGTTTTATTCAAAAATTACATACGATGTTGAATTGTGAGTTAAGAAGAGCAGTTATGATTTATGTGCATAACGTATAATAATTTTATTAATTTCTTCGCAATTTCTAACAAATGCAACAAGAAATTTATCACCAATTTCACCCTTTCCGGCCGGATGTTGCCAAATGGCAATATTTTGTTGTAGGGGTTACGGCATTTTCCGAATAGTCAGCCGGAAAGGGTTAATTCTATTTGAAATAATTTCTGTAAAATCATGAGCTTCGGTAGTCATTTATTATCTTATAAAATTAGAACATTCGACAAAACAAAGAAAAGCATGTACGTTCATTTTAAAGAGTAGTACTACCTCTTTGTTGAGCTTCAGAGGAAAGTGATAAAGTCATATGAATATCTTTATCGTTCATAATTTCTAAAATATCTTGTCGACCAATAGTAAATCTTGTTCCAATCCATTTTTCATTTGCTATTTTAATTGATGGTCGTACTTCATAAAATTGTGCATTAGTTAATGGTTCCCATATTGATGGAATTTTTTCTTTTGTACGTGGATGATATTTTTCTTTAACTAAAACCCATATTGTTGGATAAAATGATGATGTATATGTTGTTAAATGGCTAACTTTTGTTGATAAAAGTTTTGGATCAGATAAAAATAAGAAAACAAGGTTTGCAGCTGGTTCATCTTCTATTTTTGATGTTACTTCAATATTAGGAATTTCATGTGCTTCAGCAAGGCGTTTAAACGAGAATTTTAAGTCATCAAAATCAGTTTCATCACCAGGATAATCAAGAATATGTATTTTTGCACTGGGCATATAACGAATATCAAGATTAAAAGTAAAAAGGAAACGCCGAGCCATCGCGCTTTTGTCTTCTAATGGGTCTCCTAGACTTTCCCAGCGATCGTATATCGACATTTGCTTATTTATATAAAACAAAAATGAAAATAAAACATATTTTCAGCGCCTTATATATATGAATAATTAAGATAAGATCCCGCACTTTAGTCGTCTAGAAGTATATGCTCACCAGGGATGCTATTTTATCTTTATCTAACTTTATGATAAAGAAATAAAGTAAATCTTTATCTTTAAAAAATAAATATAAACAAAAAACTTTTTATCTCTATAAAAATAAATACAAAGTTTTTCTTTATTTTTGAAAATAAAGTCTAAAGATCTTTTTTTCTATCGAAACGTCCTTTTCTATTTTCTTAGAATAGGTTACAAAAAATTATGATATTATATAGTTTCTTGTGTAACTGGTTTTTTCAAGATATGGTGTATGGAAACGATGATGATGAGAAAGAGCACTAATAAACGTATTCTGTTGTTATACAGGGTATTTGCATATGTACTTATTACATGAAAAAATGTAGCACTATTCTTTATTCACAAAGTAAAGCTAAACTAACGTACCTAATGCCCACAACAGATGACATTTATCATTAATATATATTCTTATTGTAATTATTATAGACCCTTTATTAGATTTATTTGCTTAATCAGATCAAATTCTTTAGAAATATATATATACAAGGAAATCTCTCTTATGAAGTTCTTATGATTGAAAATTTTATATTTAGAAGAACAATTAAGTGAAGATGAAAATGAAATCTTAGGTGATGATCGATCAGGTATTGCAAGTGAAGAATCTGGTGAAGATTTATTTGGTGATGAATTTGAACGGTAGAATATTCAAAAAAAAGAAAGCATTTCTTTCTAATTAATATATTATTTATTTATTTTATATAGAGATTATGAAGCTATTGATGAATTAGATCGATATGAAGCAGGTGGAATTGATGATGACGAGGAAAATGATACAGATCTTACAACTGAACAACGTCGACGAGCTGAACGAGATATTAAACGACGTGAACGTGAAAAACGTCGTCGACTCGGTCAAGAATTAAATGATGAAAGTGATCTTGATGATGACGATGAAATTATTGGTTTAAGTAGTAAAGGAAAACGTACACGTACAAATGATGATGATATTGGCATGGATGATGAATCGGATGCTTATATTAAAAATTTAGGTGATACACAAGGTCATAAAATATCTGATTGGGTACAAATGCCTGGTCCACATAATGAAGTAATACGACATTTAAAAAAATTTTTACGTACATTTAAAATAACAGCAAATACAGTTGGTGGAACAAATAAACCAATTTATCGTGAAGCATTACGTCGTCTTGTTCAAGAACAAAAACAATCGATTATTGTTGATTTTGAACATTTAATGTCAATGGATGAAGTCTTAGCATTTTTTCTTCTTGGTGCACCTGAACAAACATTAAAAATATTTCATGAAGCATTAACTGAATTATGTTTTGAACTTTATCCAAATCATCGAGCAATTGAAAAAGAATTATTTGTACGTGTTAGTAATTGTCTTCAAAATGATAATATACGGGATTTAAGGTATAATAAAAATTTCATTCCGTTTTTTATTTAAAAAAAAACTTTTATTTTTGTATTTAGAGTTGAACATTTAAATAAATTAATTGGTATAAGTGGTGTTGTAACAACATCAACAGGTGTTTTACCACAATTAAGTGTTATTAAATTTAATTGTCAAAAATGTGGTTTTACACTTGGACCATTTGCACAAAATCAAGAGAATGAAATCAAACCAGGTTCATGTCCAGAATGTCAATCAAATGGACCATTTGAACTTAATATGGAAGAAGTATTAATTGTTTTTTTAGAAAAGAAAAAGTATGAAATCTATTCTTTTTTTTAAAGACACTTTATCGTAATTATCAACGAATATCAATTCAAGAAAGTCCAGGAACTGTTCCACCAGGTCGTATACCACGTTCAAAAGAAATTCTTTTACTTGGCGATCTATGTGATACATGTCGACCAGGTGATGAAATTGTATGTATTAAATTAATATTCTGTTGTCTTCTTTTGAAAATAAGAAAAAGCTTCTTTTTTTTTCTTAGGAAGTACTTGGTGTCTATCGTAATACATATAATATTTCGTTAAATATTCAAAATAATTTACCAGTATTTGCAACAATTGTTGAAGCAAATTATATATCAACACGTGAAGATAAAATTTCATTTGAAACATTAACTGATGAAGATATACAAGAACTTCAACGTTTATCAAAAGATCCTAAAATTGCTCAACGAGTAAATAAAATTCTTCAATTTTTATTTTGTATCAATTAAAAAAAAATTTAGATTTATGCAAGTATTGGACCGTCGATTTATGGTCATGAAATGGTAAAAAAAGCTATTGCCTTTGCAATGTTTGGTGGCGAACCTAAAAATCCTGGTATGTATAACGATAATTTGATTAAATGAAAAAGTAATTTAGGATGTACTACTCGACAGGTACTAAAACCGATTAATTACGATTCTAGAGTTAAAGAATAGTTATTTCATTCTCTCCGCTATTGGTTTCACGAGTATTCGACATAGAAATCGTTACCGTGGTTAGGCGGATTCGAACCTATACAGTTTATTTTATGTATGTCTGAGACGAACGAACTAAAATGTTTTATTTATCTATCAAGGTGGAAAACATCAAGTTCGTGGTGATATTAATTTATTACTATGTGGTGATCCATCAACAGCTAAATCTCAATTTTTAAAATATATTGAAAAAACAGCTCATAGAGCAGTATTTACAACTGGTAGAGGTGCATCAGCTGTTGGTTTAACTGCTTATGTACAAAGAAATGCTGTTACAAGAGAATGGACACTTGAAGCCGGTGCTCTTGTACTTGTAAGTTTAAAAAGAGATTATATTTTATTGAATCGATCAGTATTTGTTTTTTTTCGTTTAGGCTGATCGTGGTGTTTGTTTAATTGATGAATTCGATAAGGTAAATTTTATCTGTTTAGTAAAAGAATAGTAAATAAAAAAGGTAGAAATTGTTCTTTAGATGTCTGATCAAGATCGTACATCAATTCATGAAGCTATGGAACAACAAAGTATTTCAATATCAAAAGCTGGTATTGTAACAACACTTCAAGCACGTTGTTCAGTTATTGCGGCAGCAAATCCAGTTGGTGGACGATATGATCCAGCATTAACATTTATGGATAATGTTGATTTATCTGAACCTATTTTAACACGTTTCGATATTTTATGTACCGTACGTGATATTGCTGATCCTGTTCAAGTAAGTTCTTTATTTATTTTCATTCACAAATAATAATTTAATTCAATTTAGGATGAATTAATGGCTCGTTTCGTAACAGAAAGTCATATGCGTCATCATCCATCAGCTACCGCAAATGATATTCAACAAAATCATGTAAAATATCCTTTTTTTCTTTCTTCATTTCTTTTTCTTATCTAAATTTTAATATTAGGTTGTTCCAAATATCTTCAATGTTGATCCAATTCCACAAGAAATCTTTAAGAAATATATAATTTATGCTAAACGACGTATTCATCCACGTATGACATCGGTTGATCAAGATAAAGTAGCTCAATTATATGCAAAATTACGTCGTGAATCATTAGTAACTGGTAGTGTTCCAGTAACAGTTCGTCAAATTGAATCTATTGTTCGTATTGCTGAAGCACATGCACGAATGCATTTACGTGATTTTGTTAATGATGATGATATTAATGTTGCTATTCAAATTGTACTTCAAAGCTTTATTGATGCACAAAAATATGGTATTATGCGAACAATGAAAAAAGTATTGTTAATGACATAGTATAAAAAAGAAAACTGATTATTTTTTTTAATTTCAGGTATTTCAACGTTATTTAACGTATAAAAAAGATAATAATGAATTTTTATTATTCTTATTAAAACAATTATTCCACGAAAATTTAGCATTTCAACGAAATCGTTATGGTGCTGATCGTGTTGCATCAGCTGGAGCACCAATTAAAATTTCAGAAGAAGATCTTAAGAGTCGAGTATGTTTCTTTTAATTAAGAATCTATCTATATATATAATCATTTTTCTTTTTATTAGGCACGTCAATATAGTGTATTAGATTTGAAACAATTCTATGAATCACCATTGTTTCGTTCGCATGGATTTAAATATGAAGATAAATTCATCACACAAGTTCTTTAAATAGATAAAATAAACATGTTTAGATAGACAAACAAACAAATAAATAAATCAATAATCTCTATTTTTGTTATCATTTATATATCTCATATATTTTTCTGTATTTTTCTTATGTTGAATTAAAATAAAAAATAGAAGTCTTTATGTAAGTTCATTCATCGTTTCCATCTGATGTATTGGAATATAAAAAAAGAAAGAAAGAAGCAAGGTGTACCATTGGCATTTTGAGGGTGTGAGTGTGATCTCTAACTGATATTCACACCCAAATATTCTTGATGTAGAATCCATAAGAAATTAAGTGTTTTGTTGCTTCGACTTGATGTGATTATCGTTGTTACTGGCATCGAATGTATTTAATAGCTTCTACTCTTTCGCGAAATGTATTAAAATGTCTTTGTATAGCAGCAGCCACATAGAAAGTCAAAGTTTTTTTCCTTTGCTTGTCCACATGCTTTGAAATGAAATAGTAGTATTCTCTCTCTTCTCATGCAAAGAAAAAAAACACCACCGATTGATTACTTAGTATATTTTTATGGTGTTTTTGCTTTTAAATTCTGATAATTTTTTTTTGTATTCACCAACTTTACTTTTTGTTTGTCACTTTCGAAAAAATAACTTCATCATTTTAATAAACTACCTTCATCACTCACTTCCAACATACATTAAAAAGTAAAAAATACTATCAAGAATTCTAGCACATAACTCGTTCGATTTAAACTATTGTTGACGTGGTGAGTTTTTCACTCTTTTCATACTGTATACTAATATTTCTTCTGATCAGTGTTTCACACAAATATAAATAATTTTCTAACTTGAATTAGCAAATTAAAAATAGACTGATTAGTTACTTTGTATGATTTATGAAGATTCTTCATACCATTCCGTAATGAAAAAGTGTTAAAATTTTTGACGGCTTATTTTCATATTTATTCATAACCTGACTTTTCAATATTAACTAAGTTAATAACAAAATGATAATCTAAATGTGGATGTTTAATTTCATTACAAATTTACTCATCCATTTTCATATATATTCTAAGTATAAAAGAGAACAAATCAAATGTATAATGTGAATTCTATCTGTTTTGTTCTTCTATATAGAGTCAGAGGCTGAAAACGATTCGATTCGAAACGATCTTTAAGAAGCAAATAAATATAAAATAAATATAAATAAAAAAGAATCAATCGATTTAATATCTATTTAGTAGAAATATCATTTTGTCATAAATAATCAAATGATGTTTGATAGATTATTTTATATTGTAATTAAATCTTTATATAATAGCTTTTTTCTTCTCTTAACACGTTTATTTATTGTGTTTATTAAAATCACTTACTTCTATATGATATAACTTTTTAAAGTTATTCCTCTCGTTTATTCGAGGATGTGAGTGGGCGGAATGATTCAATACCGACATCTACGCCCCATACTTTAGCCACCTACAGCTACCCCACACTCACATCCTCAAGACGATTTTAAAAACAAATTTTTATTTTATTTCTAGACTATTTATTGTGCTTGTTACTCGAAAATATTCTTCCATATAAACATGGCTACAAGTGGAAATGTTGACCCACAACAGTATACACGTGTATCGGATATTGTTAAAGAACCGCAAACGATGCTCATGCCAATTGAAGGGTATGAAGAAATGCCAATAGTGCCACTGGAGGAAGCAGTTGTACCACTTGTTTCGATTGTACCTAAAATTCAAAATTTTGTTTATGTTGCGAAACAGCGATCTAAATCCGTACCTGCCGATAATTTAACACAGGATGAATCAGCTTCAATCATGCTCTACTCAATGGACTGGGAACCACAGGAAAAATGTTTATATTTTGCCCTAAATGCAACTCTTCGCACTGAAGATAGGAAAAAATTAAAACCGTGGTTCTCGTATTTGAAACTTATTCTTACAGCACTCGAAAAATTACCATCCACACGATGTCATGTGTTTCGTGGAGTGAATTTAGATCTATCTAATCAATATACTAAAGGAAAAGAATTTGTCTGGTGGGGATTTTCTTCATGTACAACAACTATAGAAGTACTCGAGGACGAACAATTTTTAGGCAAAACTGGCGAAAGAACAATGTTTACTATCGAATGTGATAGTGGCAAAGATATCAGTCGTCATTCGTATTATCAATCGGAAAAAGAAGTTCTTCTTCTGGCTGCTCGACAATTTATTGTAGTATCTTGTCTTCGAGCAGCACCAGGCCTTCATATGATTCAATTAAAAGAGACAAAGCCTCCAATTACTCTTTTAGAACCGGTTACGATTGAGTCTGCGCAGATTAAACCAACACCGAGTAAGAGAAAAACCATTTTATCAGCTGAAATATAAAATGTTAGATATCGAACAATTTGGTAGAAAACTACTTACAAGTCACAGTTATGATTCTAGCTGATTTTTCAAAGAGTGAATTTTCATAAGATTCCTCGCTAAATTCTACATATGCTAAAATTTTTGCACATAATTATGGGGTAGCTTTTTCTATAAAGCATCACAATCTTAGAAATAAGATATAAATACTTGTGTATGTATTTAATACGATTACTGCTACTGCCTTTTCTTTCTGAAGAAATTGTGAAAGTAGACGGATCTTGAGCAGTATGTTTTAAAGCTTTACTAAATCAGATTTTTAGATCCTACTATCTCTAGTTAACCGTCTCCTCACGAATCTTCAAGGGACTCGTTACAAAAATTCCAACGTGGAATCATAACACAGATTCCCTATGGATTTGCAGGGAAGTGTAATGGAGTCCCTAGGGTTTTGCGAGGAAATGAAATGGAGCTCTGAAGAACGAGTATGAGTATAGAGGAAACTCACACTCATCCTCACTCATTCTCATCTCCACACTGCACGCCCTCGATCAGGGGTTCGTTTTTTAATTACAAATAATTCAACAAACAAGTTATTGTAGAATTTATAATACGGATCTCAAAATAATTAGATGAATAACAGATATTTGATATTATTTTGATATTTTATTATTGAATTTGATCTATTGAAAATCTTAATTACAAAATAAAATATTAAAGGTTATACTTGTCCAATTTTATGTTTAAGGTAAATCCTAAAACAATTGTTTTAAAGATCAATGAAAATAATATCTAATTCAATAGAATAATTTATAAAGAAATTAATTTTGTGTTTCAATAAACTATCAAAAATCTGATTAAACTAATATATAAATTAATAATAACTATTACCTATTCCTATCTTTCTTTTTTAAAATAAAATATTTCAATATTTTTCTTATATTTGAAAAATAAAAAAACTCCAAAGAGAAAAAATCTATTAAATCATAAAAAATCATCTAAAAGAATTTTGTTTTAGAAAATAAAATAAATTTTCTTTCATAAATGAATATTATCTCGTATTTTACATATAGAAAAATATTTTCTCAAAGAGAAATAAATATTTTATAGAGGAAATTTTGGGATTTATATTTAAAAGATAAAATATGAACGAATTCCCTCAGTTTGTTTCATTATTGGGACAACTTTAAATGAGAAAATTTAAACCTTGCGTTGTTCCTATTTTAAATTATTTCAAAAACTTAAACAATAGTACTCACAATCTAAATAATAATTATTTATTTTTACTAAGATTTTTATCAATCAAATCATTTCACAGATAGTACACCGACTATATCAAAGAATCCAATAATAACAGATCCAATATTAACTCAATCTCAAATAAAACAAGGTATGTTTCATTAAATAACAATACTAGTAATTTTGTCTAAAAGGTAGTTTCATCGACTTTCAGGTTGAGGGTGGGTGTGGGTCTAGATCAGGGTGTGAGTATGAGTCCAACTATGACGTTAATAATTGTTATATTTGTGCACCCATATCCACACCTTGACCCACATCTTCATGATTTTTTAAAAGATTTATTCCAATAGAAAAATCAAATCTAAACAAATTTCTCAGAATGAATAGAGTTTTTAGATTTCTTCCATTTGAAAAATCTCTTTTAATATTTTAATGAAAAAAGTATCTTGTTTTTAAGTTGTTAAATAAGTTTAACTCTTCAGCTTAGAATTTTCAAATAAAAAAATTATTTAATCTATTAATAAAAAAGAAATTTTCAATCGATTTTATTAAAATCATTGAAATAAAAATTATTTTCATTAAAAAGCATTTTGCGAAATTAAACTTTTATGAAAATCGAATGAAGAATTTTCAATTAAACAATCTCAATTGAGTGAAGAAATTATTTGAGATTAATTTTGTTCATTAAGAATTAAATTTAACAAAAAGAAAATTTTATTTTATTAAAATAGATTCGAATATAAGGTTCTCTTCTTATTTTCGCTCTTTTTTGATTTAAAAATAATGAATAAGATTATGAATAAAAACAAAATCTTTTATTTTAGAAGACATTCAAAGAGAAAAGAGTAAATTTCAACAATTTGGAATTACTGTTGCTGGAGGAAATGGGCAAGGATGGAACCTGGATCAGCTATCTTACCCTCATGGAATGTTTATTAATAGCAGTAACTCAGTTTATATTGCTGATTCTCGCAATCATCGTATTGTTAAATGGAAATTTAATTCAAATATTGGTCAAATCATCGCAGGTGGAAATGGAAAAGGAAATCAAAGTAATCAATTGGATTATCCAAGAGATATAATTTTTGATAGAAAAAATTATTCTTTTGTTATTGCTGATTATGGAAACAAACGAGTAATTCGATATTCTGATCGAACTGAAACATATGAACAAATTCTTATTTCAAATATTAACTGCTGGGGTCTGACAATCGATAAAAATGGATTTATTTATGTTTCTGATTGTGAGAATAATGAAGTAAGACGATGGAAAGAAGGAGATAAACAAGGTGAATTAGTTGCTGGTGGAAATGGTAAAGGAAATCATCTTAAACAACTGAACTTCCCTGCTAATATCTTTATTGATGAAGATTATTCTCTTTATATATCAGATCTTTCGAATCATCGTGTCATGAAATGGAAAAAAGATGCAAAAGAAGGAATTATTGTTGCTGGTGGAAATGGTCAAGGAAATAGTCTTAAACAATTGTATCATCCTCGAGGAGTGATTGTTGATCATTTGGGTCAAATCTATGTAGCAGATGCTTG